AAATCCAATATTATTTATGGAGCCTGAATTATGATGGATTTTCTGTTAGTGTAATGGGGTATTCATATGGCCATACAAATTTTTCCTTATTCACTATGTCACTATATCATACTTATTTCACACTATTATGCGCATCGATGGTTCTCAATGAAAGCCATTTTTTTGCACATTCATATCATCTGATTCTATTTACCGAGACGGTAATATTACGGTGTTCCGCTGCGTTGAAACAGATATATATATATATTAGATGTGGAAAATTTTGAATATATATATATTTAAAATTTTCCAATCTGTTAATATATCATTCCGATTTTATGACCTCATAATTATATTACTCTATATATTACTCTATGCATCACGGGGATAACTATTACTTTAACATTTTTTATAAATATCATCCAATACTCTTTATGTATTCTGAAGTATTGCGTAGTTTCGGTATTGTAAGTTGGTTTACATACGACCTCTCATTACTTTCGACATTATTTCTGTCTAATATTGGGCATGGAATTCATGGTCTTAAATTATTCTACTCTGGGTTCACAATGCACACCATGTTTTTGTGCATAAATATCATCTAATGTTATTTATCGAACATGAAATATTACAGTAGTCCGGAACGTGAAATGAGGTTACGTATAAAAACTGAAGATATTACGCATTAATTCTTCTAATATTTCATTCTGATATTAAGGTATTTTGTTATTCTACTTATCGCGGGATTCAAAATTAACAACACTTTTTGTACATTAATATCATGTGTTGTTAGTTACTGCGCTTAAAACTTTACGTGGTTCATGTACGTGGAATGAGGTTTACACTGGTTCATTCAAAATTTTCAACATTCTTTTTGTCGTATCGATTTTATGGTCTTATGATATTTTACGCATTGCGGGACACATAATTATCACCATGATTGTGTACTTAAACTTCATCTAATATTATTTATCGGCAATATTACGGATTTCCTTTACTTGGAATCATGTCAACTTACGTCCATTCTATATTTTGCACATTCATTCTGTCAAAATATAAAATTGAATTTATAACCATATATTATTTTACATATAATCGGGTTCGTCAGAAACACAAATTTTG